TTTAGAAATTGCGTCATTTTTTCTATTTTAAGAAATTGCATCATTGTTGCTATTTTTAGAAATTGCGTCATTGTTTCTATTTTTAGAAATTGCGTCATTTTTTCTATTTTTAGAAATTGCATCATTGTTGCTATTTTTAGAAATTGTGTCATTTTTTCTATTTTTAGAAATTGTGTCATTTTTTCTATTTTTAGAAATTGCGTCATTGTTGCTATTTTTAGAAATTGCATCATTGTTGCTATTTTTAGAAATTTCGTCATTGTTGCTTTTTTTAGAAATTGCGTCATTGTAGCTATTTTTAGAAATTGCGTTTAGAAATTGCGTCATTGTTGCTATTTTTAGAAATTGCATCATTGTTGCTATTTTCAGAATTTGCGTCATTGTTGCTATTTTTAGAAATTGCGTCATGTTGCTATTTTAAGAAATTGCGTCATGTTGCTATTTTAAGAAATTGCGTAATGTTGCTATTTTTAGAAATTTGCTTAATGTTTCTATTCATATATATATACAAAATATATAAACAAAACTTATGTGACAAGACAGACCAACTAAATTTATAAAAAGGAAACATTAAGATATGTTCAAACCTTTCTATGTTTGCGTTTAGAAAAAGTAAAAAGTCGAGCGTTGCCCCCGCCCGGCGGTGGCTCTTGTTGTCCTTTGATGTACAGCCATGCAATTTGGACTATGTGCACATTTTTATTGGTAAAATTGAACTTTGATATCAGGTGACCTAGATTTTGATGATGTGACCTACTTTTTTGTCCTTTAATGTGCAGCTATGAAATTTGAACCATGTGCACAGATTAACCCTTTTACTACCATAGGGACGGCTTATGACGTCCCTGTTATTTTCGGCGTATTTGCCATATGGACGGCTTTAGCCGTTTCTATAATAATAATAGTAATAATAATAAATTAATAATAATAAAAATAATAATAAATATAAAGAAAATTATACCATTGACAATAATTATTATTATACTCACAGATTTGGAAACATATATGATTATTATAATACTAATAACAAGTAATAATAAATATATTAATTAATAATATAGTAACTTCTTAGAAAACCCTCTGGCAAATAGGTGATCAATAAAACAATAACCCTATGGCAGCGAAAGGGTTAAGATGTAAAGTGAACTTTGATATCAGCTCACCTAGATTTTGACAAAGTGTCTTACTGTTTTGTCCTTTGATGTACAGTCATGGAATTTTGGCCATGTGGAATATGACCTTCACCACCAAATTCACTAGACTCTACTGCATTGATAGATTCCTACTCTGATCTTTTATTTGAATAACAATAGATTTAACCACTAATCTAATAATAAGAATTTAAGATAGGTCAGTGATCTATGCATTATGGCAATCTTCATTTGTATAGAAACAAAAAAATTATGTTCCTACATTACTATTTAGTGTTGTATTAATGCGGTGGCATAGCATTTTTCACAAATGCAATCTTGTTCTTATATGCATATAGAAAAAACATAAAAAATCTTCTTATGACAATTCAAAACCACTATAGATTAGATATTTGGCATGAAACATCTTCCAGTGGATGTCTCAAATTTTTACAGTCTACCAAGGTTGTTCAAATAAATGTCCTAGGATCAAAATTTGCCAGCCCTAGGGTTTATTGATTTTCTTTATATGTATATAGTGAAAACAAAAAACAAAAATCTTTGTTTGTGTTCAAATAAAAGACCTAGGGTCAAAATTGACCTCGCCCCAGGTGTTATTGATTTTCCTTATATATACATGTATATAGAAAAAACTTAAAAAAATCTTCTTCTGAAAATTCTTAACCCTTTACCTCATATATATGCTAATCAGCTAATCAACGCACTTTCGACACCCCCCCCCCCCCTCTTTTAGGCCTCAAATAGTGAAGAAAAAATGTCCTGTTTGGGCCCCAAACACATCTTTTCGTTTGAGAAATGTTGATAAAAAAGTGAGCTCTTTTTCGGCGCTGCCCCCATCCAAAACTTACATCAGGGGGTTGCCAGAAGGGGGATGTGTCCCCTTCTGACAGTTTGGGGGTTTTGAAGGGGGGGCGGTAGTCCCCCTCATAACCAAGAAAATTTTTGACATGTGAGAGGCTAAAAATCACCCCAGGTCGATCATAAGGTAATGTGTAATCAACGCTGACTCTATCTGAATCTATTGAGAAGTTGCAGCACTTTGAAATCAATTTTGATGGAAAAAATCAACGCAAATAGTGATTTTTGGCAAGTTTGAGTTGCCTTTTCAATGATTACGGCCATTTTTCACAATATGCTCATGAGGGAAAGGGTTAAGTTTTGGCATGAAACATATTCTAGTGTATATCTACCATGTTTATTGAAATAAAACCCCTAGGGTCAAAATTGGCCCCACCCCTGGGGATCGAGGCTGACAGTTCAATCCCCAGCCAATTAAAACGTTTGTTTTCTCTCTCTTTTTCTGTTATCTTTTTATTAGCTCCCCTCTCACTTAGTGACAGGCTGAACTGTTTAATAAATTGGCTGCCAGTGTTAAAAAAAGAAAAAACAACATCTTAACCACTGGTTCAGTTTTGAAATAATTTTACACAAAAATTTCCTTGGTGAAAGTGTACAAAATGTTTTCAGATTTAGCCGTCCCTTGTTTTCAAATTGTGCTTCTGGGGTGAAAATGGGCTACACTATGACCTTTTGACTTACTTCTCAAGTGAGCGATCCAGGGCCCTCTTGTTCTATTTATAAATAACTCCCTCTGGGCACTCTTGTTCTATTTAAAAATTACTTGGCACATATCGCGGGCTTAGCGCAAAACGGTTGTAACTCAATTTAAGCAAATTTTACAGGAGCATGAAAAAACTTTTTAAAACTTTTGTTAATAAAAATTATGTTCACTAGATGCAGTGCCATTATACTGCCATATGCACAACAACCAAGGTTAATTTCACTCTTGGTGAAAGGTTAACATAGTCTGTGAAGTGTTTAAGTTGTGTCCCACCCATAACATTTCATCGGTCAAGGAATATTAAAATAACTTGGCACAGGTTCTCATTATAATATGACAAGGTGTCATGCACAATTTCCAACTTCAGTATTAATCAATCTACAGCTGTAAAATTTTATAGGATGAACATTTCCATGTCCAATACATGACCCCTATTGATTTTAGGGTCATAAGATCAAAGGTCAGGGTCACAATGACCTTAACACTGAAAATTGTGGTTTCTGGAGCATAACACAAGTTCCATTTGGCTTACAGTGTTCAAACTTCATAGGATGATTGCCTATATTGAATAAAAGATCTATATCGGGGCCAAAAGGACAAAGGTCAATATCAAATGACCTTAATGTTGTTAATAGTTTTACAACTGTCAAACTTCATCATAGGATGATCACTTATATTAAGTACATTAATTATATGCCCTAAAAAACTTGCTTATTATGTTATACTTCTGGCGTCTTTCCGTCCATCCATCATAGCATTTTTGTGTCGCCTCTACGGAGTAGTGGCGACATATAGGGATCACTTCTCCGTCGTCTGTCCGTCCGTCTGTCCGTCTATCTGTCCGTCTGTCCGTCACAAAACTTGTCCGGACTACTCCTCATAAACTACTGGTGCAATTTCATCCAAACTTTACAGGAATGATCAGTACCAAGTCTAGTTGTGCATATTGTCAGCATTTTCCGGTTCAATGATTTTTGGCAGAGTTATGGCCCTTTAATAATTTTTAATTTTAAAGTTTGTCCGGACTACTTCTCTTATACCACTAATGCAATTTCAATGAAACTTTACAGGATTGATCTGTAGCTCAAGTCCTTGCGCATATTGCACGGGTTTTCCGGTTGAATGATTTTTGGCCGAGTTATGGCCCTTTGATAAAAAGTTTTTTTTTCTGTGTGTTGCCAGATACGCAAAAGCTTGTCCGGACTACTCCTCATAAACTACTGGTGCAATTTTATCCAAACTTTACAGGAATGATCAGTACCAAGTCTAGTTGTGCACTGTCCGTCTGTCTGTCCGTCTGTCACAAACTTTGTCCCAACATGAAATTGGCCATCATGAGGCGACACATGTGATTACTGATCGCTCTTGTACTTACAAGATAACAACTTGATGGTGGTGCTTTTGAAACAGCAACTGTATATATGTGAAGGTTCTTCAGCAATAAAGGGGGATTGCTTTTTGAAGGAAGTAATACTTTATTTAATTCCCATGTCTTACAAATGCTTCATCCTTACTAAAGAAATACATTGTCGGGCATATAATTCTCTGCCTAGCGGTGCTCTTGTTTGAGACTTTCCACGACTTTTACATTCATCAAAGGATTTTAAAATAATTTATGTACAAGATATTCATCATATAAAAACATGTCATGCACATCACCCAGACATCTTCCACCAAGGTCAAGGTCACACTTAAGAGGTCAAAGCTTGATATAGTCTTTATTTTCCTTGTCAAGAGAATAACTATAATGTATTAGAGAGATTCCAGTGAGCTTAAATATATATAGATAACAGTATGAGGGTGTGCACTGCAAAAGAAACATTTACCTCCATCTTACATAATATTTTAATTACATGTATCTTTCTATATGTACTTATTTTCAGTGATAAAAATCTGCTCAAATGTATTCCTATTGCTATATACACAGGATTTATTTCATGAATTTGTTTTGAATAAATTAATGAAATGCAATATTATTTTCTATAAAAAATAATAGAAAAGGTATTTGAAGGTCACAGTAAAAATGTGCCTGTGTAAATGTGTCAAGCAAAATTAAGTCCAAAACAATGGTTGAAGACTGTTAGTAGTTATTGAACAAACTATGCAATTTTTGCCTACTTTTCAACACTATAGTTGTGTTCAGTTTTTGAGGAAATATCCTTTTTATATAGTGATGGAGACTGGATACTAAGATTGATAAAAAAATCTGTATAAAATACAAGTTTGAAAAAGAAATTTACTTAATAATATGATTATACTTAAGCACTTAATACCATGAATTGTTGCAGGGGTTTTCTGAGACTGAACTACGTCAAAGTGAAATGGGAAAGTCATTGGTATCAAACATAAGGAGGAGCGAAATTTTTGACATACTGCCCAAGGACATTAAGCAGGATATCTCTGCATTATCTACTGAGGAAAACAATCCTGTTGATAAGGTATTTATTTTGTATGATATTTAGTTTGAGTATTCAGAAAATAATGGGACATACAGTGTTCTGAATCTAGAGCGCGCCATTCCGCCATTGACCCCCTAAAAAGACTGCTGGCACAAAACAAATTCAACTTTGGCCCAACAATCCCACTCAGAAAATAATAGGCTTTTTGTGAATAATATTAATTAATGCTGAATTAAAACTAAAGTTTGGATAGAAAAACAAAAGAGCATGTAGGTAAGATAGTTACCGCACACAGTAACCCTTTAAAACCTCGAGTGCTACGCTCTCTCGGTCTTTATATCGCCACCAGGTCTGTAAATACTATGCAGACCTATTTCTTGTATGGTAACTATTACTTAACTATTACTTAACTATTACTTAACTTTTATGTCACAGTTTATATAAATTTATTATTATAAACAAAACAAATTGTTAAAGATAATCCAATAAGTGCGTGTAATTATATTTTTGTATTGGTCAAAACAAAGACTTGTGTGATAGCTTTCAGATTTACGAAACAGTGTGCATTTATATAAAATATTAGGAACACGCCTTCATCCAATTAAAAAGTCTATGGGATGGACCTAATCAAACACGATTGGCTAGGGAGTGTCTGATAATTGAATAAATTAATTTTGATTGGTCTTCGGTTGGTCGGGGCTAAAACATTATGCATATCATTAATCAATACAAACATCTAAAGCGTGACGTAAGAAGCTGCTGCCCTGACAAAAGATCAAATGGACTGGTATATGTCAATGTACATTGTTTTTGCACCTGTTGATACTTTGCTTTCCGGGTGGATATATTGAGAGGGGTAAATATTTTTAGTGACTGTGTAAGTTTATATTCTTCATCAACATAGTGAAATGTTTTTTGCTAATTGCAAAATTTGATCTGCCGCAAAAATATTTAAAAAATGAACATTATTATCAAAATTCCTAGCAACATTTATATTCGATCCTTTTTGATAGTTTTATACTCGAAACACTATGTCTTTGTTTCTCGACTAATCGGTTCTTAAAAATGAGCCTGAATCACCGCTAACAGAACTCTAAAAAACAAGGTCCAAATAAGATAAATATTTGTTAGTGGAGTCAATTTTTTGTAACCATTTTTTGTCAATATATGGTACGTATTATCAGTTGTGGGAACAAGTACATGTAAGATAAAAGGTATAATATTACACCTTATTTGAATTTTATGTTCACTTTAGGTGTTGGCCCCCTTTTTTCTCAAGTGACACCCTGTTGATGAGTTGATGGGCCCAAAGGCCCTCCCCCCCCCCCCCCCCCCCCCCCCCTGGGAATTCATTCTAGATTGAACACTGAACATAATTATGCTCTGTAATGTTAGTCTACTTTAGAGAACATTGATATAAAGATGACAGTTTTAGGAAAACCAAAACAAGCTGTGTATTAAGTCAAATAACTTTGGTAACAACCATTATGTGGTCCTGTGAAAGACAGAACATTGTTGCTCTCTATTAATCAATAAAAGGAGTAAAAAAGTGCAAAAAATTGCAAACGCATTGAAGTAGGGAAATTGGGGAACAGAAATTGAAAATTCAATACATCTTTGGATATGCAACTTTAATACTTGATCAGCAAAAAAAAGAGAAATTATTAAGCCAAGAGAGGCAAAAGTCTGCCCTTCAAAATTTTAAGAAGTTGGCACAATTTCTGCCCTTTCAAAATATACATGAGGACATATGTCCTGCACGTCAATGTAAAGGGGCAAATGTCAAGGAATTGCTGAAGTTGCTCAATTTCAGGGTATTTATGTTTTCAACAAGTATTATTTTTTTTAACAAATTCCCATTTTACACTATATTGTACATACTACATTGTATATCTCTGGTTCTGTTTTTTACTATTATTTTGTATTGAGTGCTTTTTTGAGAAGAAATGTAAATGAAAAAATTCTTTTTTAGAAACAAGGAGAAGGAAATACACCTCCAACGTAAGTGAAAATTTTTATATCAAATTAGTAATTTTATTTTGATATCTCATAGATTACTGTAGTAGATTTTAGCGGATAAATGGCATGTATATGCATTGTTTAATATTGTGTTAACTGGCAAGCAATAGCATTGTACATAATAATGTAAGTTATGCTGCTTTATATTAGCTTAATTAAATCAGAAATGTTGAAGACCGTTGCAGCTTACAGGTACACAACTTTAAAGGATGATTGTCGAATGATCTCAATTAATAAAATGCTTATTATAAGCATAAAATCTTTGATAGTATAAACAACAATAAAAAAAAATTCTTATAAGACTTAACACAAAGAGGGATAACTCTGCAGCTCATTTTATGTTAGTGTATTGTAGATTTACCTCCCTTGCTTATATATCATTGCATATTAATAATTGTCTTAGAGGCATTTACGCATAAAATATGTATTAATGTCAAACATTGCAATTTTTGTTCTATTTCCAATATTCATATTGTATTATTTCAGTTGTATGTAATATGATTAATATATTCAAGTTTCATAATTATTATATATGTATATTGCATAGTTAATAAATTTTAATATTCTTTGAAATATTTGTTGCATCTAATGTTATTTATGATTGTTGTGAAAATATTATGTTTTATTGATTGAGATAATTATACACTGTACACACTTTGAGTGCAATAGTTTTCTTTTTTTCCATAAATGAACACTTCCATGTACCCATTTATGGCAAGTCTCTATAACAAAATTACCAATAATGTGAATTAAGTGCTAGAAAGGGGGGCATATGTGTCGTTCGACATTTCTTGTTTAAAGATACAGTCACTTTAAGTACAATATTGAATTGATATAAAACTTTTGGACTTAGGAATTGAAAACAAGGCTAAATAGAGTACAATAAGGGTTTGATATTGATTTTACTCGAAAAATGAAAATGAGGTTAGATTGAGTACAAGTTGCATTAAATTTCATACAATTTTTTTTGGACTCTGTGGGAATGAAAACAAGGCAGATCGATCAGGATCCAATAATATTGATATTGAAACATCATGTGGTGAAAATACTAGAATTTCATTAGTTACATTTTATACAGTGTGAAATAATTGAAAATGACTTTGGTATTATGAAAAAAAATTATTATACATATGTGTTTTTTTAATACTGAGATAGAACAGTAACTCAAAACAAACAGGATTTCTCTGGCTGTCTCAAATCAAAATCAAAACCCTGACCTTAAATGATTTAAAGAAAAGAAAAAATGTCTTCCTTGGATGTTGCCATTTCCAGTATGCGAAAGCCGATTTTCCATGTTAAAAGTTGACATCATACTTCATTTTTATGCTCCCCGAAAAAATTTCGGGGGAGCATATAGTCGCCGCCTTGTCCGTCCGTCCATCCGTCCGTCCGTCTTTCCGTCCGTCCGTCCGTCCCCTTTTCTTGTCCGGGACATAACTTTGAAACAACAAGAGGTATCAACATGAAACTTTGTAGGTAGATAGATCTCATTGAGTAGGTGTGCAGTGCATAAGAACCGTAACTCTGCCTTGCCTAATTTTTGAATTATTCCCCTTTGTTTATTTTTACACTTTGAACTTTGTCCGGGACATAACTCTAACAGTATAAGAGGTATCAACATGAAACTTTGTAGGTAGATAGATCTCATTGAGTCGGTGTGCAGTGCACAAGAACCATAACTCTGCATTGCCTAATTTTTGAATTATCCCCCTTTGTTTATTTTACACTTTGAACTTTGTCCGGGACATAACTCTTAAAGTATTAGAGGTATCAACATGAAACTTTGTAGGTAGATAGATCTCATTGAGTAGGTGTGCAGTGCAAAAGAACCGTAACTCTGCCTTGCCTAATTTTTGAATTACCCCCCTTTGTTTATTTTACACTTTGAAATTTGTCCGGGACATAACTCTTAAAGTATTAGAGGTATCAACATGAAACTTTGTAGGTAGATAGATCTCATTGAGTAGGTGTGCAGTGCACAAGAACCGTAACTCTGCCTTGTCTTATTTTTGAATTATCCCCTTTGTTTATTTTACACTTTGAACTTTGTCCGGGACATAACTCTAAAAGTATAAGAGGTATCAACATGAAATTTTGTAGGTAGATAGATCTCATTGAGTAGGTGTGTGCAGTGCACAAGAACCGTAACTCTGCCTTGCCTAATTTTTTAATTATCCCCCTTTGTTTATTTTACACTTTGAAATTTGTCCGGGACATAACTCTAAAAAGTATAAGAGGTATCAACATGAAACTTTGCAGTTAGATATATCTCATTGAGTAGGTGTGCAGTGCACAAGAACCGTAACTCTGCCTTGCCTTATTTTTGAATTATCCCCCTTTGTTTATTTTACACTTTGAACTTTGTCCGGGACATAACTCTAAAAGTATAAGAGGTATCAACATGAAACTTTGTAGGTAGATAGATCTTATTGAGTAGGTGTGCAGTGCACAAGAACCATAACTCTGCCTGGCCTACTTTTGGAGTTATTGCCCTTTGTTCATTTTGACACTTTGACTTTGTCTGGGACATTACTCTAAAATTATAAGAGATATCAACATGAAACTTTGTAGATAGATAGGTCTCATTGGGTGGAAGTGCAGTGCTTAAGAATCATTACTCTGCCTTGCCTTATTTTGAAGTGATTGCCCTTTGTTTATTTTTACTTTTTGACTTTTGTCCTGGATAATACTTTAAAACTATTAGAGATATCAACATGAAACTTTGTAGGTAGCTAGATATAATTGGATAGAATTGCAATGCTTAAAGAACCTAAACAAAGCCTGGTCTAATTTTGGAGTTATTGCCCTTTGTTCATTTTACACTGACTTTTACCCGAGACATAATTCTGATATCATCAGGAAACTTTATAGATAGATAGATCTCATTGAATAGAAGTGCAGTGCAAAAAAACATAACTCCGCTTTGCCTAATTTTGGAGTTTTTGCCCTTTGTTCATTTTTTTTATACTTTCCTGTGTCCAGAACCTTCTCGGGGAGCATCACCCGGTTCAACCGGTTCTTGTTTAGCTTACCTGTCACAAAGTGACATGGTGAGCTTTTGCAATCGCTTTTCATCCAGTGTCCGTCCGGTGTCTGTCCGGCATCCGTCTGTAAACCTTTACTTTAAACGACATCTCCTCATAAACAGCTAAGCCAATTTCATCCAAACTTCACAGGAATGTTCATTAATTTTGGTAGTCAACTTTAAAAATTATTCAAAGAATTTAATTCCAAGCAGATCTCTGGTTGCCATGGCAACCGAAAGAAAAAACTTAAAATATCTTCTTTTAGAAAATCAAAAATATTTGGCATGAAACAGCATCTACTCAGTGTCTACCAAGTTTGTACAAATAAATGCCCTTGGGTAAAAAATTGGGGGTGGGGGGGTCATTGATTTTCCTTATTTGTATATAGTAAAAACTTAAAAAGTCTTCTTTTCAAAAACCCAAAATAGCTAGAAATTAGATATTAAGCATGAAACATCTTCTTGTGGTTTTCTGCCAAGTCTATTCAAATAAAAGCCCTGGGGTAAAAATTGGCACTGTCCCAGGGGGTCATTGATTTTCCTTATTTGTATATAGTAAAAACTTAAAAAAATCTTCTTTCAAAAAACCAAAATAGCTAGAGCTTAGATATAAAGCTACATCTTCTAGTGTCAGTGTCTACAGAGTTTGTTTAAAAAAAACCTGGGATAAAAGTTCAGGGGGTCATCATTTTTCTCCCCAAAGAGCAAGAGCTAAGATATTTAGCATGAAACATCTTCTAATGGGTGTCTACCAAGTTTGTTCAAATAAGGGCCCTTGGGTTAAAATTGGCACTGCCCCAGGGGTCTTTGATTTTCCTTATACGTGTATAGTAAAAACTTTAAAAAAATTCTTATAAAAAGCCCTATAATTCTTATATAAAGAGCTAGAGTTTAGATACTAAGCATGAAATATCTTCTAGTGAGTGTCTGCAAAGTTTGTTCAAATAAAAACCCTGGGGTAAAAATTGGCCCACCTCAGGGGTTCATTGATTTTCCTTAATTGTATATAGTAAAAAATTAAAAATCTCTTGATAAAAAGCCCAAAGAGCACTGTGCCCCAGGGGTCTTTGATTTTCCTTATACGTGTATAGTAAAAACTTAAAAAAAATTCTTATAAAAAGCCCAAAGAGCTAGAGTTTAGATACTAAGCATGAAATATCTTCTAGTGAGTGTCTGCAAAGTTTGTTCAAATAAAAACCCTGGGGTAAAAATTGGCCCACCTCAGGGGTTCATTGATTTTCCTTAATTGTATATAGTAAAAAATTAAAAATCTCTTGATAAAAAGCCCAAAGAGCACTGTGCCCCAGGGGTCTTTGATTTTCCTTATACGTGTATAGTAAAAACTTAAAAAAAATTCTTATAAAAAGCCCAAAGAGCTAGAGTTTAGATACTAAGCATGTTATATATTCTAGTGAGTGTCTACCAAGTTTGTTCAAATAAACACCCTGGGGTCAAATTGGCCCCTCCTGGGGGGGGGGGGGGTCATTGTTTTTCCCTATTTGTACGAGGGTTGTCCGGAAAGTTCGTAGACAAGACTATTAAATTACTATAAACAGTCATTATCAATATGAAGATTGAATATTTTGCTAATGTATTTATTTGCTACAAATTATTAATTAAAAAACATCATAACAGTAATATTTGCAAAGCGCCGATCACCATGGCAACATGATCAACGAATCACGGAGCACTTTGATTTCATCACGATAGCTACTTGAGTAATAAGTTGCTAAAAGTTGTAATTTTAACACAAACTCTCGTTTTAATTTTGTGACATCATGAGATACTATTACATGATATTTAGTGAAAATTATGACGTCATACGCAAATAAACAGCTTGTTAACGACGATTATAGACAATGAAGGTGCGTAAATTCTAATTGAAAAAATGACTTCAAATTTACGGACGGAGCAACGTAATGATATTTACCTTCATAGCAACGCTAATATGGCACCAGCTGAGATTTTAATCTTTACTACAAAAACAAAACCAACCAAAAATGTTAAAGGCAACTTGTGTTTAAATGGCAAACAAGACTAAGAAGCGGCGATGACAGTATATCGTATAAGAAACGCCCCAGACGCCTAAGGTAGCATGGGCGAAATTTCGTATATTGCGTTACAACAACCTTGAAATAGACAGACATCTCACAACACAGTATGGGAACCAGTGACATTTTTGTTTTTAAATAATAATTTTAAATATGAAATTCATAAAGTAAAAGCAACACAACATATATTTGTATAAGCCAGACATGTACCATGGCTGTTGAAATCGGAAGAAATTGAATAGCGGATAAACATGAAGTTAATTTGACGCCGTTGACGTTGTCAAAGTGCTCCATGATGATGTATATATGTTGTATGTAATTACTGTTAAAATACAAACGTTTAAGTCACAGTTCAGTAATTTTTTATAAATTTGTTTGCTAGATATGTATGTTTCTGCTGACAAAATTTGTTCAATGTATGTATTGTTATACAATAAAAACTGAAGAAGTATATGAACTTTCCGGACATCCCTCGTATATAGTAAAAACTTAAAAAATCTTCTTATAAGAACCCCAAAGAGCTAGAGCCTAGATATTTATCTTGAAACATCTTCTAATAGGTGTCTACCAAGTTTGTTTAAATAAAAGCCGCAGGTTAGCGATTTCAGGGCCATTATGGCCCTCTTGTTTATTTTTTATAACATAGATATTATTATCCCTAGCCGATGGAATCAGGAAGGGGATATTGTTTTGGCATTGTCCATCTGTCCTTCCGTATGTCCGTCCGTCCGAATTTGTTTCCGCGCTAGTTCTCTGCAACTACTAGCTGGAATTCAATCTGAAACTTTATGGGAACCTTTAATATCAAGAGGAGATGTGCATACCGTCCGCTTCTTCCGGTCAGACCCTTAACTCAGAGTTATGGCCCTTGGTTAGTTATGCAGTATGCATATAGAGCAATAATAATTTCCGTGCTATTTCTCTGCAAAATCTGGCTGGAATTCAACGAAACTTTATAGGAACCATCAATATCAAGAGGAGATTGGCATACCCTTGCCATGTTCTGGTCAGACCTTATAAATCAGAGTTATCGCCCTTGATTAGTTATGCAATATGTATATAGAGCAATAATGGTTTCCATGCTACTTCTCTGCAACTACTGGCTTGAATTCAATATCGTCATATTGCGCATATCGTCGCCTTGTTCTCTTCCGACCCTTCACAAAGTGTTATGGCCTTTAATTAGTTATGCAATCTGCAGTACCAAGAGGAGATGCACATGTTGTTGCCTTGGTCCTGTCAGACCCTTCATCACAGAGTTATGGCCCTTTATTAGTTATGCATTATGCATATTATAGAGCAATAATCGTTTCCGCACTACTTCTCTGCAACTACTGGCTGAAATTTAACGAAATTTTATGGGAACCATCAAGATGATGTGCATAACATCACCTTTTTTTGGTCCAGCCATTCAACACAGAGTTATGGCCCTTCATTATGCATATAGGGCAATAATTGTTACTGTGTTACTTCTCTGCAACTACTGGCTTGATTCAATGAAACTTTATGGGAACCATCAATACCAAGATACGATGCACATATTATTGCCTTGTTTAGGTGGGACCCTTCAACACAAAGTTATGGGCCTTGATTAGTAATGTAGTTTGCATATAGAGGCTGAGCAATAATAGATTTTTCGCTATTTTTCTGCAACTATCGGCTGGAATTCAAGAAAAGTTTATAGAAACAATCACTACTAAGAGGAGATGCGTATATCCTTGCCTTAATTGTTCCAGTCAGACCCTTCAACACAGTGTTATGCATATAGAGCAATATTGCTTTTTCTTTGCAACTGCTGGACTGATTTCAACAAAACATTATGGGAACCATTAATACAAAAAGGCAATTTCTATCTCATTGGCAAGTTCAGATAATTACTACATGTATTTAATACGGAGTTATGGCCACTGTTATTGGCCTGAATTTTTATCATGTACAAGAATATTACTTTTTTTATGTTATGATAAATATATGAATAAAGTCTTATGTCTCCAGTTGCTGTGTTAGTAATAACTAGTACTCGGTGGAGGATATTAATTCAACGAATTTGCTAGTATTCAGTTTAGAATGTGTTTGAACAGTGATCAGTAATTATTTCAGATCTGCAAAACATAGCCGCAGTGAAAGTCCAGGATTAGATTCGGGGCCTGCACCTGTGTATGTTATATATGTTATAATTTTATGATAATTAGACAAAAATGCTTTAATAATCAATTATTATAATGCTTGCATATTAGACTAAAATGCTTTAATAATCAATTATTATAATGCTTGCATATAATAATTATACACTTAGTTATAACTTTCTCAATATTTTCTCAAGTATATCACACGTAACTATTGGAGGAAATGAATTTACATAAGTCTTGGACTTGTTTTCAAATCCTCTTCTGAATTTAATTAAGTTAATAATTTCTTTAGCATTGTATATCATTAACTTATTTCATCAGTCTTTCATTTTTCTTATTATACCATGTCTTCTGGTTGTAATGTTTATTTATGATTTGTAAATTCTGGAAATAAATATTGTTTAAACTAACTATTTGAAATGCCTATTTATAAAAAATAAATTCAAAGTAATTCCCTGTAAATTTGAAAACTTTTTTCAGCAATCAAAAGTTTTCTTCTACTATTAACGTAAGGTAAGTTAATGAAATTTATGTGTACAATTTTGGTTGACTATTCAAAGAAAATTTGGCTAATGTTTCTTAACTATTCTTTTCAACTTCTTAATGGATTCATAATTATTAAGTTAATCATTTCTTACAGGTTGAACCATATTTCATTGTGAATACTTCCTTGTTAAGTTTTTGTGTGCAAGATTTATTTGCAGAATTTCAAATGAAATTTGCTTTAAATCACAAAATATGGATCATAATTGTAAGTCACATACCAAGATCCATAACTGGTAGCATATTATTCAAAATTATTCCTCAATGGAAAAATAGAAAAAATCTTTTATTATTCAGCCACTTGTTTTTCTATCAATCAATGAAAATAATATATAAAAAATACATGGGTTTGTGGGTAACAGTTAAAATATCATCCCAAGGAAAGTATTGTTACCCGAGGCAATTAGCCGAGGGTAACAGTATTTTTACAAGGGATGATATTTTTACTGTTACCCACAAACCCATGTGTTATTTATTTTATTATCCCGAACAAATACTGTGATGATCTTAATTTGTAAACTAAATCTAATTGTAACAAAAATAAATCAAGAGTAGCAATAACTAAACTGGCCTTACACAGCCTGTTGATATTTGGCATACAGCATTGACACTGGTGGTCCCATACTGTGGGATACGATTTCAGGTCTGTTGCTCATCCACTTCCTGTTTATCAACTTAGTTAAATTTTCGACATTAATGGTCAATGGTAGGAAATTTTAGTAACAGTTTTCTCAGCAAGTACTAATCACAGCCTCTTGATATTTGGCATACAGCATTGACAGGTGGTCCCATACCGTGGGATTTGATTTCAGGTCTGTCACTTATACACTTCCTGTTTATCGACTTAGTTAAATTTTTGACCATTAAAAGTTAAATTTTCGACATTAATGGTCAATGGTAGGAAATTTTCATAACAGTTTTCTCAGCAACTACTTATCACAGCCTCTTGATATTTGGCATACAGCACTGACAAGTGGTCCCATACCGTAGGATTCGATTTCAGGTCTGTCCCTTTACTCGCTTATCCACTTCCTATTTTTCAACTTGGTTAAATTTTCGACATTAATGGTCAGTGGTAGGAAATTTTCATAACAGTTTTTCTCAGGCTGACTTCTAATCACAGCCTGTTGATATTTGGCATACAGCATTGACAGGTGGTCCCATACTGTGGGATTCGATTTCAGGTTTGTTGCTCATCCACTTCCTGTTTATCAACTTAGTTAAATTTCTGACATTAATGGTCAATGGTAGGAAATTTTCATAACAGTTTTCTCAGCAACTACTAATGACAGCCTCTTGATATTTGGCATACAGCATTTACATATGGTCCCATACCATGAGATCTGATGTCAGGTCTGTGCTTATCCACTTCCTTTTACTGACGTAGTTCAATTTTCGACATTTATGGTCATTGGTAGGTAATTTTCGTAACAGTTTTCTCAGCAACTACTAATCACAGCCTTTTCATATTTTGCATACAGCATTGACACATGGTCCCATAATGTGGGATTCGATTTCAGGTCTGTTGCTCATCCACTTCCTGTTGACTGCCAGCATTGACAGGTGGTCCCATACTGTGGGATTTGATTTAAGATCTGTCGCTTATCTACTTCCTTTTTATCAACTTAGTTAAATTTTCGACATTAAGGTCAATGGTAGGAAATTTTCGAAATAGTTTTCTGAGCAACTACTTATCGCAGCCTCTTGATATTTGGCATACAGCATTGACACATAGTTCCATACCTTTGGATTTTATTTCAGGTCTGTTGCTCATCCACTTTCTGTTTACTGACTTAGTTAAATTTTCGACATTAATGGTCAGTGGTAAATTTTTTTCTTAACATCACAGCATCATGATTTTTGGTATACAAATGCAACACGGCCTTTTCTGTCTTTGACCAATTTTTTAAGCCTTGTTTGACTAAAATTGGCTAAAAAAGAACAAAGGAAAAGTCACACAAGTACCATTTTGTAAGTATGTCCGTCTGTCTGTCTGTCTGTGCATCCCCATTTCATTTGTGTCCGGACTGTAACTTTGTCATACATTGAGGGATTTTGAAATAGCTTGGCACAAATGTCTACCACATCAAGACAATGTGTCGCTTCCAAGAACCACATCCCTACCTCTAAGGTCAAGGTCACACTTACATTTTGAAGTTTCACATTATCACAAATAGAGTTAATAGGTACACACAATCGTGTCCAGGCTGTAACTTTGTCATGCATCAAAGAAGTTCAAAATAGCTAGACATAAATGTCTACAACATCAAGATGTGTTGCGTTCAAGAATTACGTCCCTACCTCAAAGGTCAAGGTCACAATACCATTTTGAAGCTTCACTTTATCACAATAACAGTTTATAGGTACACACATTTGTGTCTGGACTGTAACTTTGTCATGCATCGAAGTATTTTAGAATAACTTGGCATAAATGTCTACCACATCAAGATGAAGTGTTTTGTGTAAGACCCGTGTTCCTACCTAGGTCAAGGTCACTCTAATTTAGTTTGATGGTACTTATGCTCATAAGAAGAGTTTGAAGGTACACATTAGTTTCCGAACTGTAACATTGTCATGCATTGAAGGATTTTAAAATAACTTTGCATAAATGTCTACCGCATCAAGATGTTGTGTCACATCCAAGACCCTTGTCCCAAGGTGTTAAGTTTGGTATAAATAGCACTTCATTTTACAAGAACAATATTAAGCAATTAGTTACTTTCATTCTCTTTTCTTTTCATAAAACCTACATGCTTAAGAAACCTTTTCGGGGGCAACCTCTTGTTATAATATACTATGCTTACCTTCGAGTAATATAATTTAATGGCAGAAATTTATTGGATCTTATCATTATAAGGATCTTAATTAATGAATATGTTTAATTTGAATAAGAAAGCATGGGAAGCAGGGTTCCCTATTACAAGTCATGCTATGGTAGTCTTTTCTTTTAAAAAAAAACAACTGCCAGTTATTTTAATGACATTATGTTTAAATTTCATGCTGTTTTTACCTATAGTGTGTAATGTATGTATGTATTCTAGGCCTAATTAGGGTCCATCCTTCTTTCAGATCCACTTCCTGTTAACTGACTTAGTTAAATTTTCGATATTGATGGTAAATGGTAGGAAATTTTCGTAACAATTTTTTCAGCAACTGCTAATCACAGCCTCTTGATATTTGGCATACAGCAGAGACACATGGTCCCATACTGTGGGATTTGATTTCAGGTCTGTCTCTTATCCACTTCCTGTTAACCGAATTAGTTAAATTTTCGACATTAATGGTGAATGGTAGGACATTTTCGTAACAGTTTTCTCAGCAACTACTAATCACAGCCTCTTGATATTTGGCATACAGCATTGACACATGGTCCCATACTGTGAGATTTGATTTCAGGTCTGTCGCTCTTCCACTTCATGCTTATTGACTTAGTTAAATTTTCGACTTTAATGGTCAATAGTAAATTTTTTTTGTAACATCACATCATTATGATATTTGGTATACAATTGCAACCCGGCCTTTTCTGTCTCTGACGTATTTTTCTTTCAATCAATGGAAATAGAATAGGTGTATAGGATTTTGTCAGCTGCCCCCCTCCCCCCAACCACATTTTGTTAATACACATTCATGTACATTTATAATCCATAATGAAAGAGAAGAGCAATCCAAAAAATCCAAACAAATTGATCAAAAAATAACTATTTATGACTCTTCATTAATGTAAAATCTTTAAAAAATTAAGATCCTGTAAATATATATAATTATAAGAGCATAACAATGAATGATGATTTTTATAATATACTATGCTTACATGTACCTTTGAGTAAAATAATTTTATGGCAGAAATTTATTGAAATCTAGGATCTTGATTAATGAATTTGTCTAATTTGAATAAGAGAGTGCACAAAGTATGCATTGGTAGTAGGGTTCCCAGTATTACAAGTCATGCTAAGGTAGTACTTTCTTTTTTTTTTAAAAAACTGCCTAGGCCCCAGTTATTTTAATGACATTATGTTTTCATACTGTATTTACCTAAAGTGTGTAATGTATGTTTGTATGATGGTCCATCCTTCTTTCAGGCACCAGAAAGTATGGAGCCTGTTATTGTGTGTAATGTTTTAAATTTGGCATAATTATATACTCTGTGTGTACCTAAAACATGTTTATTTTTCAAGTACATAGAGACTGTGTAGAAATTAATTATAGATTTCATATTTTGGTAATATGTAGGAATCTGATAAATTATTTGTAATATATTTTCAGTCCCACAAAAAGCAACCATTCACCATCTGCAGCACGTAAAGCAAACAATGAGAAAGAAGGTGAAATTACAAAGCTTCAGAAGGAAATGTAAGTTAAAGATTGTATTAAAGAGCAGATTGTTAAAGTAAGTTTATGGTTCTTTGGGTTATTTATCAAATTTTAGTATGACATTTGGAGTTGGGATGCGAGGAATTATATCACGAGGGCGTAGCCCGAGTGATATAATGATGCGCATCCGAACAACAAACAGTGATGTTATCAAGCGATAAAATCACCGATTTGGATATATTATTTCGATTCTAACACGACATCAACAAATAAATGCTGCCGTTCCTGATATTAAGCAAAATTGCGCCTGATTTGTTTCCGTACTTATTTTCAGCGCGTTGGATTTTTGTGCCCCCACGTTAGTGGCGGGCATTTAGATTTACCCTTGTCCGTCCGTCCGTCCGTCCTTCCGCACTCACAGGAGAGTAATTATGTGGCTAGAGGGACAATAGGTTCTCTTTGATGTCATTCATTCCGTAATGCTTTTATGTGGCTATTTTCTTTTGCGTGGCTAAAAAGAACAATAGAGAGAACAATAGAGTAGCCACATAATTACTGTCCTGTGAGAACGTCCGTCCGTCCGTCCGTTCACTTTTGTGTCGCACGTAACTCAAAAAGTATTTGACCTAGAGTCATGAAACTTTACAGGAATGTTGATCAGCATGTGTAGTTGTGCACCTGGGTATTTTCGTCTGGATATTTTTAGTATTTTCAGAGTTATTGCCCTTGACTTAGTTAAATTTTGCAATTTTCAACTTGTGTCGCATGTAACTCAAAAAGTATTTGACCTAGAGTCATGAAACTTTACAGGAATGTTGATCAGCATGTGTAGTTGTGCACCTGGGTATTTTCGTCTGGATATTTTAAGTATTTTCAGAGTTATTGCCCTTGACTTAGTAAAATTTTGCAATTTTCAACTTGTGTCGCATGTAACTCAAAAAGTATTTGACCTAGAGTCATGAAACTTTACAGGAATGTTGATCAGCATGTGTAGTTGTGCACCTGGGTATTTTTGTCTGGATATATTTAGTATTTTCAGAGTTATTGCCCTTGACTTAGTAAAATTTTGCAATTTTCAACTTGTGTCGCACGTAAGTCAAAAAGTATTTGACCTAGAGTCATGAAACTTTACAGGAATGTTGATCAGCATGTGTAGTTGTGCACCTGGGTATTTTCGTCTGGATATTTTTAGTATTTTAGAGTTATTGCCCTTGACTTAGTAAAATTTTGCAATTCCAACATGTGTCGCAGGTAACTCAAAAAGTATTTGACCTACAGTCATGTAACTTTACAGGAATATTGATTAGCATGTGCAGTTGTGCACCAGGTATTTTCGTCTGGATTTATTTAGTATTTTTAGAGTTATTGCCCTTCACTTAGAAAATTTTTTGCAATTTTCAACTTTGTGTCGCAAGTTTCTCAAAAAGGATTTGACATAGTCATTTAACCTTATAGGCAGGTTGCTCAGCATATTTTAGATTTGCACCTGGGATTTTGCTTGTGGATTTATCCAGTATTTGTAGAGTAATTTCCCTTGACTTAGTAAAAAGATTGACAGAACAGTGGCGCGGTGGGGGCACCCGTGTCCTATGGACACATTTCTAGTTTTGTGGTTACGTCACGTGTATAATGATTACGTCACATGTCTAAATATAGAATAATAATTACTGTGACTCTGTTGCATAATAACACACACTTTCGGTTCTTCTATGTTCAATAGGGAAAAATGCGGGTCGTGTTAGAATAACTGTTTTTACTAGCATGTTATTGTAGCTATGCATTCTTTGAAAATTTTAATTCTTCCATGTTATCTAGAAATTTAATGGCCTTTATGGATATTTTTTTTCTGCAATATTGGATGGTACGAAATGATTTGTGGACAAATTTATTAACAACTTTCCTCCAAACCAAGATTATGTTTCCTAAAACTAATGTGATTATACTGTCATGTAGAGCTCTATGCATCCTTGTGCTGACGATTATGGCCTGTTGAACATTTTTTTCTGCAATATAAGATGGTACGAAACAATTTTCATACAACTTGTGCTATACATGTATGTTGCCAATAGACTTAGGACTTATGAATATGAAATGTACTTGGAACATTAAGATGCATGACTGATTGTGTTTTATGCAATTATATATGTCTAATCAAATTAATGCTCAGAACGGCAAATTATACAGTAGGTTCATTCAGTTATAATGAACCCTGGCTGAACTATTATGGCAGTGGTATTATTAATAGTTTACAAAATTTTCTCAAAGTTGAATGTAGTAAAATGTTTCAATCAGTTTTCCAAACAATAAGTGTTTGCCATTGCAAGCTACAAAGAACTAAAATAAATTCTAATTAAGCTGTACATTACAAACAAGCACAATAATTATGCATACAGTGTTATCATACAGTATGCCAGTCATTTGGAAATGTTTTAACCTCAAAAGGAGACAGTTGTACTCTTTATAATGCTTGTGTTCTGTTTGCTTATTATGATTTAAATCTCAGTTAACACAATGATAATATAAGTATAATCAAAGCATATAAATTAAGTTAGATGTAAGAAAATAAGAATTCTTACTTGTGTGTAGTAATGTCACATATTTACTGTTTCATGGTTGGATCCTCTCAAATTTGTTGCCTGACAAATGCTGGTATTTATAATGAGCTGATAAAAGACTTTTTCACAATGAGTTCACTTTAGTAGGAGTAAATTAGCGAATAGGTTCTGTTACTATTGATAAAAGTATAAGTGTTTTTAAATTTTCTGTTTAAAAAGCGAAAGATTGAAGACAGAACTTGAAACTGAGAGGAAGACTGTAAAAGACAAGTCCCATTTATTGGATGACAAAGAGAAACAAATTAAAGGCCTAAAAAAGGTTATCGGTGAGAAAGATGGTAAATTGAAAGTGGCAGAAGAGGATGCAGAACATCTATCAAAAAGGTAGTCTTTTAGATATCTAACATCTATCTTACATGATAATAAAAAATGTTGATTACTGCCCTTAACAAACCAAAAAAATATAGAGAAATGCTAGGACTTACGAAAGTAAGAATACATATTCTGTAGAACTTACTGACTTGCATGAATACTTCAAGACATTGAGACTTTGACATATATATTGGGTTCAATTTACTGACATGTTGATCGACTATCTTCATAGTGGCCAGAAAAGGTGTGGAAAATATCTCAAGATCAAAAGTGTCAAAGTAATCAAAGGGCTACAACTTATTAATGGTAAAATTAACCTTAAGTATTCTAGACAGACACCATATAGACTGACACATTAAAAATTAAACTCATAAATATAAGCTCACCTGAGTACAATGTGCTCATGGCAAAATTGTGTGATCCCTTTCCAGCTGTTGTTGTGTGTTCAATAATTCAATAATTTCTTTAATCAAAATCACTGAAGCCAATGAATGCAAATTAACCAAACTTAACAGAAAAGATCCTTGGATGGTTCAAAATTGTCCAAATGGTTACAGTCTGTCGCATAAGTAGGTCACAGACCCAAAACAGAAATTTAAAAAAATGCAAATTTAAAAATGTCTTTGTCCAAAAAACTACAGTGATGCATTCTTAGACAACCTAGTCAATTTATGTCTCCAGCATAAAATATAATACAGTGTCATTAAAAGCGGTAAAGTTCCTATAAACTTGCAATCTTTTTAGTCCCCTACCGGTTTAACCGGAGAGGACTTTAGGTTTACCCTCCGTCCGTCTGTCCGTCCGTCTGTCCGTCCGCACTCACAGGAGAGTAATTATGTGGCTAGAGGGACAATAGGTAACTGTTCTTTCTCTTTGATGTCATTCATTCCGAAATGCTTTTATGTGGCTATTTTCTTTTGTGTGGCTAAAAAGAACAATAGAGAGAACAATAGAGTAGCCACATAATTACTGTCCTGTGAGAACTTCCGTCTGTCTGTCCGTCTGTCTGTCAGTCAGTCCGCACTCACAGGACAGTAATTATGTGGCTAGAGGGACAATAGGTAACTGTTCTTTCTCTTTGATGTTATTCATTCCATCAGCTGTCAACATTCTTGCCCAGGGCAAAAGAAATATGGTATGTGGGGAGATACCAACTGCAGTGAACCAGTTTCAAGAGGCTTGTGCCATACTCTCAAAAGCCTACGGTGAAACTGCTAAAGAATGTGCAGATGCCTACTTCTGTTATGGACAAGCTTTGTTAGACTTGGCTCGAATGGAGAATGGAGTGCTGGGAAACGCCCTTCAAGGAGTGCTGAAGGGGAGCGGTGGCCTAGTGGTTAAGGTGTCTGCCTCTCAACCCAGAGATCATGGGTTCGAGCCCTACTCTGGTCACGACCATGTTTCTCCATATGACACCAGTACTGGTTGGTTCCAGGAAGCGGACTCGAAAGTGATTAATATAAGTTGCAAGAACTTGTTTCGCAATCGAGCTTAAATAAATATGTTTAAACCATTCATTCCGTAATGCTTTTATGTGGCTATTTTCTTTTGTGTGGCTGAAAAGAACAATAGAGAGAACAATAGAGTAGCCACATTATTACTCTCCTGTTAGAACGTCCGTCAGTCCGTCCACAAAACTGGATCCCGCGTAACGCAAAAAGTACTAAAAATATTTTTATGAAACTTGATATCCTTTGCGACGGCCATAGCGTAATAAAACGTACCGAAAAATCGACTTCCCAAAAGCCGGGCGCTATAGTCATAAGAAGGCTATAACGTAATAAACCGGTATAAAATTTTGGCTTCCTGAAAGCCACTACTGTTTGTCGTAGGAAGGCCACCAAAATTTAGTTTTGAATGACTAAATTCTTGAAGTTTACCTTTCATTTCTTTCATTCTGTTAAATGTTGTTCAAATAAAAACACCAAATATGTTAATTGTATTCTGCCCTTTATTGACAGATATAGTAAATGTTTAGATATACAGTACACTTTTTAGCTCGACTTTTTTTTTTTTTGAAAAAAAAATAGAGGTATTGTTATAGTTGCGGCGGCGTTGCCGTTGCCGTCTGCAAACTTGTACCTGGATCATAACTTTTTTATTTCTTGGTGTTTTGTCTTCATACTTGGCCACAACAACCCTTGGGACAAGACCTTTCAGTAGACCACACTAACCTTGACCTTCATCCATAAATGACCTTGACCTTCAAGGTTAAAAGTCTAAATTTTGCTTGTTCATGCTGTAATTGGCTGTAACTTTGTTATTTTTGAATGGATTGTCTTCAAACTTGAACATAATAATCTTCAAGGATATTCCTTAAAAATAACCTGACAGACCTTGACCTTCACTCATAAATGACCTTGACTTTGAAGGTCAAATTATTGAAATTTTCATGTTTTTGGCTATTATTGGCTGTGACTTTGTTATTTTTGAATGGATTGTCTTCAAACTTGAACATAATAATCTTCAAGGATAACCCTTAAAAATTACCTGACAGACCTTGACCTTCACTCATAAATGACCTTGACTTTGAAGGTCATCTTATTGAAATTTTCATGTTTTTGGCTATTATTGGCTGTTACTTTGTTATTTTTGAATGGATTGTCTTCAAACTTGAACATAATAATCTTCAAGGATAACCCTTAAAAATAGCCCGATAGAACTTGACCTTCACTCATAAATGACCTTGACTTTGAAGGTCAAATTATTGAAATTTTCATGTTTTTGGCTATTATTGGCTGTAACTTTGTTATTTTTGAATGAATTGTCTTCAAACTTGAACATGATAATCTTCAAGGATATCCCTTAAAAATAACCTGACAGACCTTAACCTTCACTCATAAATGACCTTGACTTGAAGGTCAAATTATTGAAATTTTCATGTTTTGGGCTATTATTGGCTGTGACTTTGTTATTTTTGAATGGATTGTCTTCAAACTTGAACATAATAATCTTCAAGGATAACCCTTAAAAATAACTTTACAGACCTTGACCTTCACTCATAAATGACCTTGACTTTGAAGGTCAAATTATTGAAATTTTCATGTTTTTGGCTATTATTGGCTGTAACTTTGTTATTTTTGAATGGATTGTCTTCAAACTTGAACATATTAATCTTCAAGGATAACCCTTAAAAATAACCTGACAGAACTTGACCTTCCCTCATAAAAGACCTTGACTTTGAAGGTCAAATTATTGAAATTTCATGTTTTTGGCTATTATTGACTGTAACTTTGTTATTTTTGAATGGATTGTCTTCAAACTTGAACATAATAATCTTCAAGGATAACCCTTAAAAATAACCCGACAGACCTTGACCTTCACTCATTAATGACCTTGACTTTGTTTTGGCTGTAACTGGCTGTAACTTTGCTATGATTGAAGGGATCAACCTCATATTGTAACAGAACATACTTAAGGACAAGACCTTGTTGTTTATCGTGACTTCATCACGTGACTTCATCATGTGACTCCACCACGTGACTCCACCATGTGAGTCCACCACGTGAGTGCACCACGTGAGTGCACCACGTGAGTCCACCATGTGACTGCACCACGTGACTGCACCACAAGACTACACCACATGACTGCACCACGTGTCTCCACCACGTGACTCCACCACATGACTTCACCACGTGACTCCACCACGTGACTCCACCACTTGACTCCACCACGTGACTGAACCACGTGACTCCACCATGTGACTCCATTACGTGTCTCCACCACGTAACTACACCACGTGTCTCCACCACGTGTCTCCACCACGTGACTCCACCACGTGACTCCTCCACGTGACTCCACCACGTGTCTCTACCACGCGTCTCCACCACGTGACACTCCACCACGAGACTCCACCACGTGACTCCACCACGTGACTCCACCACGTGTCTCCACCACGTTCTCCACCACGTGACTCGACCATGTGACTCCACCACGTGACTCAACCACGTGACTCCACCATGTGACTCCACCACGTGTCTCCACCACGTGTCTCCACCACGTGACTTCCACCACGTGACTTCCACCAAGTGACTCCACCACCTGACTTCTACCACAACGTGATTCCACCAGGTGACACCACCACGTGACACCACCACGTGACTTCACCATGTGTCTCCACCACGTGTCTCACCACGTGTATATATTTATATAATTTTCTATTTATAGAATTGTCTGTAATTCTATTTATATAATTTTCTATTTATAGAATTGCGTGTCTCTCTATATATATATACATATATATAAATTAGTATATTTATATATAAAAAATACATAGACAAAACTAATGTGACAAGACAGAATGATTAATTTTATAAAAAGGAAATGTTTAGACTTTGTTCAAACATTCCTTTGTTTGCTTTTAGAGAAAGTAAAAAGTCGAGCGTTGCCCCCGCCCGGCGGTGGCTCTTGTTAATTAATGTGGTAATCAAATTGATATCCAAATAAATTGAAGAAAATCTTCTAAATGGTATAGTACTTTAAAATGCATTTATTGATACATCAAACGGAGTTTCTGTAAGCAGTTCTCTTATTTGAAACAAAAATGAGTTGAACTTACAAAATTCACGTTGAAAAGCATAGTATCAATCACCCTTCCTGAGAAAAATTGATTTTCATTGATTTTGATATAATTACGTTTTAAATTGTTGTGGACGTTTTACTCAACATGGTATTCTAATGGGCTATATAGGTAAATAACGTAAAATTTACCGTTTTAAAACATTCAGAACTTGTTTTAAAAAACAAGGATTGTGAGTCTGTTTATTGCAGTGGAACGTAATATTAACAGTGTTATACGGTATGGCTTTGTTGTTTATTGTATGCCGTTGAACAGCCATAGCGTAATATTTTGATTTTTCATAAACACATTAAAAAACCAGAATGTACGAAAACGAGGTTTTTACGGGTTTGCATGACACAAAATTCAAGTTTTACGCTGATTTACGCTATGGTTTCTAGAAAGGTATATTTTTGATACGTTTAACTACGTTATGGACGTCTGTCGTAAAATA